GCCTTGTTTACTCATGTGGCTGCATAGCATTAAAATGATTTATTTTTAGTAACGTACGCTTATTAATAATTGAAGGAAATCTATATTATTTGCGGTAGGAGACTATTAGTGACACTTTCAAAAATATACGGCTTGATGACGTGCAGGGCTGAGGAGTGCCAGACGATGCTTACCGTACTGAGCATGCTGTGGCTCATCACCATAGGAATTTCTAGCCTTCCAGACAGACCGTTACTCGGAGGGTTCAGTAGCTCTCCTACTAAAAAGCCAAGGTGAAATTTGGTTAATTTCATAAATAGTAGATCAATCGCGGTTCTACCGAATGTTATTCCTAATGTATTAAAACTTTGTTTCTTTTTAGATGATGAAATCAGGAACTAAGAATCCTATTATGATGATGAAGAAAGTGATGATGATGAAGATTTATCAATTAATTTAAAGACTTATAATAATAAAAAATATTTTACCCATAACTTTTATTTTCACATCATTTAATTTGCATGAATAATATACCGTAACTTTTCATACTACGACTGTTACTCGTACTGCCGCAGCATCTTTCTCGATTGGCAAGAACTTGTGCTAGCCACAACCGCCTGGCATTCTACTTACTTACTTTAAATCGCAATAATCGCATAAAGTTTATTTTTATGTATATATTACACACCTTCCGGCTCGTCTGGCAGGGTAAACGTCAACTTACAACAACGAGCACAACGTGTGCTCATCGTAAACGTCTGGCATTTTTTTTAAACTTAAAAATGAATAAACTACATTGTATAAAAATTTCAAGCTTACAGCGACAAGTTTTTTTTTAATATTTTTTTGACACTCAAAAATATACGGCTTGATGACGTGCAGGGCTGAGGAGTGCCAGACGATGCTTACCGTACTGAGCATGCTGTGGCTCATCACCATAGGAATTTCTAGCCTTACAGACAGACCGGAGGGTTCAGTAGCTCTTGGGCTATTTTTATTATCACTACATAGTATAAAGCAAAGTCGCATCCCACTGTCTATCTCTATGTCCCTATGTATGCTTAGATCTTTAAAACCACGCAACGGATTTTGATGCAGTTTTTTTAATAGATAGAGTGATTCAAGAGGAAGGTTTATATGTATAATACATGCATAATATAGTAGAGAAACACTAATATTTTAGAGGTTTTTAATGTAAGGTCGTAAATAAACACATTTTTTGCGCTTACATTGCAATCGCTGGCTGAACCCTACGAGATAGTACAAAATAATATACTACAGTATTGTACACCTTAAAAAGGTCTACAAAAAAGTCCGGGATAGTATATGTCTATCTCTTAAGGATAACCCACAATAACCATTTTTTATTCTATACTTTTTACGAGAAATAATAGCTTATTTACGAAGCGATTTTCAGCAATATAACATTCATCCTTAACCAATTAAGTACCTTAAATACATTGTGTATTTAATACAGATCAATTTGGCCCTTTAAAGCATGTAATTTAAATGAACATTTTCGAAGATATTACAGAATTTCAAATGCAGGGACATAGCGGTTCCGACGCTACCGACCGGGGGGCCTGGCGGCGCGGCGCGTGCCTATTGTAATTAGGTATAAGAAGAATGTCAATGTGTAGAATACAAGCCTGAGAACAAAAACTATAGTAACTATACTACTCTGCAGCTCTACACCGAAGCGAAGCGAGGAAGGCCACTAGTAATAATAATAAATGTTGTACACTTTCACAAAAACCATCTTGCTTTAAACTAACAGTGGGGAAATTGAAGGCTGATAATGTTTGGCATGATTGAATATTGGACAGCAAACAGACATCTTCAGAGCAAATTTCTGACCAAATGCCTACGTCGGTAAGAAAAATGCTAATTGAGTTAGTCAGACAGACAATTGCTTAGTTTAGCAGATCTCATACAGCCTATGGGTGGAAATTCCCGATATTACTATGTAAATTCCCACCGTTCTTTCGATTGGTATCTTTGATAATAAATAAATCTATTTATATAAGTATGAATTACCGAAATGTACATTACTTTTGAAAGACTGCACCAAATCAGTAAATACTTATGTTGTCGTTTCCGTTATAGTTAGGAAAAGGTTTGTATAAAAGAAGTTTTTTGATAATCGCCTAGCAAAATAATATGGCGGTATAAAGTTCGCCGGGTCAGCTAGTTTATAATAGTTTATAATCAGGTAGTTAATAATAATTTAGGGAACAAAGTTACAACGATCAATTTATTTGTGAAAAATTGAATCCTTGTAAAAAAAAGTGATTTTATTACATTCTCTTTTATTTTTATTCCAATGTCTATTCTTTTTCAATTCCATCATAATGTTCTGAATTAAAAAAAGAACCGAAAATATCACACTAATATTATAAAGGCGAAAGTTTGTGAGTGTGTATGTTTGTTACTTCTTCATGTCTAAACGGCTTGAGCGATTTTAATAAAATTCGGTATGGATTTAGCTAACACCCTAGATTAACACATAGGCTACGTTTTACTGTGGGAAAATATCCCTAATCAACCGCGGGTAACTTAACATATTATATCATTATATAGATAGTACGTACCTACATGATGAGCCTCTTGCGATCGGTTAACTAAAATTACCAGTATTTTATATTTCACATTTAGCGGTTTCGACTTCCGGTTTAGTAAGTTTATACATTTTTTAAAATAAAATGTAAGTCTTGTTTCAGCGGTTAAAAAAAAGTGATTTCATTACATTCTCTTTTATTTAAGGATGTGATTTCCTTATGGGATACTAACACGATGTTCTCAATAAAAAAAATTGAAACAGAAAAAAAGATATTATATTATAAAATAGATAGTACATGAATGAGCCTCTTTCGATCGGTGCACTAAAATTGCCAGTATTTTATGTTTCACATTTGGCGGGATCTATTTTCCGGTACAAACAGGCGCTTTTTTATAATTCTAAGGTATTCTAAGAATTAAAAAAATCGCCTGTGGTAAAGTAAAAGTTTGTTCGTATATATTTTTGTTTTATAAAATTTAAGTCGGACTTTCTTGGCGGGATCGGGAAGCGTCACTTTAGCAGTTTTGTTTTTATTGTTAAAAATTGTTTTGTGGCGGATGTTAGTGTCTAATAATGGTGGATTATTAACTACTAAGTGTTCAGGAACATGCACATGTGTTTGAAAGTGAAACAAAATAGCGGAAAGTGTCTTTCGACCTTCCCTCAAGAAGTCCACGGGGAGGTTCCAGTAAATCCCCACACTTTTACTGAAACATAGGGAAAGGGGGATTGACTTGACTGCCACTTACTTTGACTTGATTTATTACTTTGACCACGAGTGCTGTAGTATTTGTATACATTTTAACACTTGACATTGGTTAAATGCACAAACCGAGCGAAGCCATTTAGAAAAAAAAAGTTTAAAATTTAAGTCAAATTTCAACAGAACTTTCTTTCTACAGTATTTAAAGTAGTTTCCCTCCATGTGGCAAAGTTTTGGAACACTATGTCTAAGTATTTGTCTGAAGATTTTGACCTTAATGCCATGCGAATGTTCAAACCACGTTTCAATGTATAAGATACCTAATTAAAGCACCTGAGTGTAACAAAAGGACAACTTTACTGAGCTGTCCTTTGTTACACTGACCTGGTATATGTCTATTCACCGCTTTACAAATTGAGTTTCGGTACGTAGGTATCCAAAGTTGGTAACATTCCCAATTAGGACCACCAACTATCAGTATGAATACGTTCAGACGTTCTTCATATACATAAGCCTACTTAATAACTAAACATTGTTTATATTTGTTGGACCACAAAGCATCAACTTAATATTTTTTAAGTTAATACACTTTAATTATTACCACGCATTTATGAAGAAATTCAAATAAATCCCGAAAAGGTAACGTCTCATGTTACGTGCAATGTGTGCGTGACTCTTATGTCAGATTATTTGAAAGTTATCAATATGTGCGTGTGTAGCTACGAGCGTATCTACCATACATAGTAGATATTTTTGGTGGTTTCATTTAGCTAATACGGTATCTAGGCGTGTTTAAATCAAAGCTAATAAATGAGCAACATAACTTTGTCCTAAAACTTTCACAGTTACGTTTGCCTCCAAACTTCCAAACTGTCCTTTCTATCTGCAAGAGCAAGTCAGTAGCTGGGGCTCTTCATGTCGTACTTTTAATTCTATTATGAGTTGCAAAACCGTCGAGTAGTAGTATTTTCATACCTATTAAACATGGAGCAACTGACGCAGACAGTACCCCACCTGTCTGAGTAGCCATTACGCAGCTTTCCCCTATTACAAAGTTATGTATAAGCCAATACTACATACGACTCATCGAAGGGTGCAAGATTTGGCGGTGTATTCTGACATCTACTATATAAAAATAAGTCGGGTTTTCCTTCCTGACGCTATAACTCCAGAACGCACGAACCGATTTCCACGGTTTTGCTTTCGTTGGAAAGGTCTCGGGCTTCGTGAGGTTTATAGCAAAGAAAGTTCAGGAAAAATTAAAAAAAAAACTTCTTTTAATCACCAAACGAAATGTTACATAAAACGAAGCCATCTGGTGGCGAAACGGAGTTCGCCGGGTTTGCTAGTTGTCTATAATTATATTTGATTGGTATTAACGACAAAATAAGGTAATTACATTATTTTGGAACGAAGTTCCTTATTGCATGATTTGGTCTTTCTAAAAATGGTGTAAGAATTTACGATCACGATTTTCCGTCACAACCTTCAGCTATTTCGAAGCATATTAGGTGTAGTTATGTTCTTAAACTCGTGTTTACTTTTTAGTTTGTTTAAACCGAGATTCATAAAAAGATAATGCGGCATAACTGCAAAGTCAAGCAAGTTAAGAAACTGACGATTATTGGGAAGTTTACCTTAGTAAATCTTTGCACATCATAAATCAATACAATTCAAATTGTAAAATTATTGTTATGACTTCTCCCTTCGAAGTCACGTCCATGTTGTTCTATACTATAAAATATTAATAATACTTACGGTGACCGGAACCGAAAAACTGAATCCGATGAAGCATAGAACGCCAACAATGTAGATATTTTTCACGGAACGAAACTCGCTGTGTATCAGTTTTGACATTGTTAAAGTCAGCGTTGCCTGAAAAAATAAATGGAATTATTCAGACCGTACAGACAAACCTTACCATTTTTTTTGTATGGTCAACCCATACAAAAAAAAGGTAAGGTTTGTCTGTACTGTTATGAATACTGATATGATGAATAAGGAATTTAGAATGAAAAAATAAAAAAATGTGTGGTTATATGAAACGGCGATGGAAGTACAATTTTTAAAATCATTAATAAATAAAACCTTGCTCTGCTGGGAATAAAACTCGGGCCACTCGCGTAGCAGGCGAGTTTTCTACCACTGAACCACTGATGCTTGATGATAAGATCTGTTTTTTTAGTTAAAATTAAAAATGTAATGCGACAGGCTATAGATGAATGAAAAATTTGTGGCAAAATTTCACCTTAATCATCCGTGTGGATTGAGTAAGGAACATAAATAGGTTAAATAAGGAAAAGTAATGAGTTGGAAGAGACGTCATAGGATGAATACAGAACAACCTGCCTTTTAACGTCATAACTGGTCAGTTTTGATTCGAACTCGCACACCCGATAATCTAGGGAGACATGGCGCCATTATTGCAGTGTGAAAAATGAGCTTTTACGAATTGGAATGGCAAAAGGTGATCCAAAAAGGCAAAAAAAAATTTGGCGTTCGCCTTAATTTTATTATATTATATTTTGTTTTAACGGAAACACGTAACGTAATCAGTTATGAATAATGAAATAAAGTCCGATGACAGAAACAAACAGACCGTATTTTTATTAATAATTTAAAATGTATTGTGACATGCTAAAGATGAATAAAAAATTTGTACCACACAGATGATTAAGGTGAACCATCTCCTTAATCATCTGTGTGGAATGAGTAAGGAACATAAATAGGTTGAGTAAGGAAAACTAATGAGGCTGGCTCGTTTTGATTCGGACTCGCACATTAAGGACTTCGCGCCATTATCGCAGTGTAAAAAATGATCTTCTGTAAATCGCAATGGCAAAAGATGTCCAAAAAGGCAAAAAATAATAATAACAATTTTGGCGTTCATCCTAATTTTATTATATTATATTTTGTTATAACGGAAATACGGAATGTAATATGTTATTGTTAATGAAATAAAGTCCGATGACAGAAAACAGACAGCGGAAACATTGTTACACTTCGGCTTCGGAAAACTAAAAAACCGTGAATAAAATTGCTGAACCTAAAAATGTTTTTATACAACGGAATTCTATATTTCATTCATTTTTGTTTACTTCAATGTGAATCTAGTCTGCCACTTTTATTTTAGCTTCTTAAAATCAAACAACCAAGTAAACTGAAATTCAATGAAATGTAGGTTGAGTTATAGGAACACGCAAAACATGCGTGATGACAAAAATTATGATTTCTTTTATTCGTATAATAAATCATATTTTTTATGTTAAAAAAAGGGTGGCAAACAAGTTTATGGCCCGCCTTCTGTAAGGTGGAGGTAACTTCCTTAGACGCCCGTCTAGTTCGAACAGAGAAGTCGCTTTGGCCTTTTTTTTGTTAACGCAGGCAAAACCTCTGTTTACAGACGATGGGGCACACCGCCGAACGGACCTCACACCTGGCTCCCGCAAGCTTTCGGGCCCCCGCAGTGGCTGCCCACTGAGGACCCCGTAACTCTTACGGGCGCTTTACAGTATAATATTCGCTAAAAAACCCTGCGAATACCCTCTAAGCTGCTTAGTGCGAAGCCACGGGATCCCCGTTTAGGGATTCTTCCGCGTTTCCGCACCTAGCAGCCTCTCGGATTAGCCGGGGCTCCACGGCAGGGGTCTCCCGCGGTATCGCGGGGACCCCGCATACTCGCTTTGCCCTACTTCTCCTAAATTAAACAAGTGTAATTAAAGAATCGCCTTGGAAAGTCAAGCCCGTGGATACATGCACGCCTCAACCATTCCTGAGGGCATTCACTGCGATAAATCCTGCAGTTTTAAAATCTAACTATCAATTTATGAGCATGAGCCAAACGGTTGCACTCTTAAAGTGAACGTTGCAAAGAATTAGAAACCTTAGAACCACTGTGGAAGAGCGCATTTTCCGTTAAAGGTAAGTTGGTTTTATAGCTTTTAACATTTTTTCTCAGCATCAGTATCGAGATAGCTTTTTTTAACTTTAGCTCGTTCTTTTACATTTTGATATACTAGTGGGAATCATGTAAAATCGTAGATGCATTTTGGAATCGTACTGCATTAAGGACAATATAAATTTAATTTTAGCGAGAAGCTTGGTGGGGCCAATGATCATCGGGTTACTTCAACTACTGTACTTTAAGTTAAGCAACTTTTCCAGTGGCTATTCATAGGATGGATGACCAACAATTTTCTCCGGCTTCCATTAAGAGGAAGGGAACGAAGCCGTTTTATGTACGCCCGCCTCAGAAAAGGGAGAGAGGCCATAGGGCCAAGGGCGACAGGTTTAGAATATTTTTAGGGACATAAGAAAGTACGCGCGGTAGGCCATTCCGCGCGTATCTCTTGGTGCTTCAGCCTGCATAATCAGAAAGATTCGTCAGGCCATGGGTAAGATTTGTCCTACTAGATAAGAAAGTAATAAGTTAGGCACTAAAGCACATCATGGACTAGACGGCCGTGACCATGGCCAGTGGCTGCATCGACCAGTAGCTCTATTTTTGATTAGCTCGCCTGCCATAGTATTGTCGAATCACTTCCGTTACTTAAGTCACTTCCGACTTCCAAATCGCATGATACTGATTTTACGTCTTTTGAATCGTTCATCTAAAGTTTACCAGTATAATACAAAATATTTATTTTTATTAATTTCATGGAGAAAGAAAAAAACAATTATTACCGCTGTGAAAAATAAATGTATAACTGGTTATTTAATCTTTTGCCTTTTCTGTTAGAAAAGATTAAAATCAACAAATCGTCATCTTATCTGTATTTTAAAAAGATTGAGAAAAATACTTGAAAATTACTGACATAAATTTGACAATTATTCCACAATTCGCCTCCATCATTCGCCAACGCGCAAACTTGGTCGAGACTGCTCGTTGACGTCGAGCGATTAAAAAATACGAAATTTATTGTCGAATTAATATTAGTATAAATAGAACGTTTGACGCAAGGCGAGTGATTCAAAAAAAGAGCTCCTGCTTAACTTAGTTGGCCGTTGCGGCAAAGGTCGCGACGTTCATTCGTTTCTTTAGTTAATCTGGTTGTTGTGGCCACTGGCCGTGGTCGTGTAGTGCACGAGGTGCCTTAGTATGAAAGAGCTCTAGGGCCTCTAACATCAGTCTACTTGCCATCATGACCATATTAAGGCTCCGTTTTTCCTTTTGAGGTAAAAAGGGCCGCTGAGACCCGTCTTATTGCGATCATGACCCTTGAGGCTCCGTTTTCCCTTTTCAGGTAAGAAACGCTAAAAAATACTCACGATCAGAATGATTATAACCTATTCATTTATAACTGCGTTTTCTCTTGAGTAAGAAATAAGTAGGGTAAGAACTAAGTGCGAACACCGGTTTACTTGTGACCATGACCCACTAGCGATCATGGAAACTTCCACAAGCCGATTTTCAGTAATCGCCAGCGGCTAAGTAACAGACCACACAAATTAGGGCATCGTGAGTTTTGGAATAAGACAGCTCCCTTGTCAGGGTCGAAAGCGGATGAAAAACGCTCTATGAGTGAAAAAGTTACAAATAAACATTTCTTACTCACACCAATTAGCCTAGCCCCATAGGAAGCACTGCTTTCGGTCTTAAAGTTATTATTATCCTATTCCTATAGGTTTTTACTTTTTTACATTTGGAACTTAAGTCAATCAGCTTTGGGTATCTGTTTTTTTAGTGCGAAGGGTTTTGAGTGTGACTATTGAGTTGTGATACTCAATCAACGACATTAAATACACTAGATACACCAACATGAACAAAATCATCCCCGAAACCTGTCCAAAAGGTACATTGGACGATCCACGCAGCTCTGTAAGGTCATCGCGTAGTCTAAACAATATAAGGCATTATTTAAACATTGAAAATCACCTTTAAAGCACACTGTATAAGGTCTTAATTGAAACGGATGCGTCAAACAGTTGCAACAGTCAGAAATGTAAGTTCATAAAATTTTACGACTTATTGCTATATGCAGAAGAATATAGACCTTATTTCTTTGACTCTACGCGCAATTCTGAATGCGCTGTTAGCAATATAGCAAGTAAGGACCGCGAGGAAAAGAGACGGCTATATTACCGACCATGCATTTGAATATCACAAATATTTTCTAATAAATCGGTTTATACTAAGTATTCAAACAAAATTTGCTTCAAATGTGATAAATTAAAAAGAAAAATGACATTTCACTTAGTGTAAGTATTTATTTCGCATTTTTTTCATGGAGCTCAGCGGCATGTTGACTTTTCAACGGTCCGCACGTGACTGTGAACCAAGTAGTGCTTGAGCCGTGTTCAAGCACTTCTTGGTAGGGACACATTTTGAGCACGTGGTATATCTAGGGTATTTAATATCGTTGTACTCAATAGCAAATTTCCACCTCGAGCTTAAAATATATAAATATTCACCGTATTTTTTTAGCATTGGTTGGCTGGATTGCTGGAATAATTATTATCCATCCTTTACCACTTTAAATTGACTTGACACCTAATAGGATACACCTTGTATATTTCTCATCAAAAAGGTAACTATTTTATTTTGTATTGATACTTGTAGTGTTTGTTTTTAAACAGAGCGTGACACTGACACACGTAGGACAGCTGTTTTGTCTATGATAGCGAACCGCTTACGTCAGCGTAGCTGTCAAACTTCATTGATTGGGTTGGTAGCCTTGAGGGAAGAGTCGATTTTCCTATTCGACTAAAATATTCGCCTTGAGACTTATAAAAAAAAAAAAAAAAAAAAAGTAATCAGGCAGTGAATCTCTGTGGGGGCGCGTGGATGAATGGATGGAGTTTGACAGTTGTTGAATTTTGAATAGTCTTTCCCAGATCGATTTGAGTCCCTGTTCGGGCGCCACATGTGATGTTAAATTCTCCTCCACGGCCCTCTTCTAGCTCACTCAGAGCACCGGGGGAACAATAAAAGAAAACCAAAAAATTAAGATAATGTTATAAGTATATTTTATCCACTTTAGATACCAAAGCATAGGAATTCAGTAGTTTTAAGTTATTGCTTATATAAATCAACAAGCCTAACTATGTTTATTATTTATATAATAACTATGTTTCACTAATTATAAATATCTAAGCTGAATACAGTAGTTCAAAGTTAATGTGTATATAAACCAACAAGTTGTCATATAAGGTTATAATTATATGAATATCAGACATTCAAAACACTATACCATGTACTTACATGAATTCTCAACTATATCTAATATATTTTATCCACAAATACCACATAGACTAGACTGAATAAGCTATTTAGTGGATTTCAGAGGTTCTACGGCTCGTTTGATCGATATTGGTGACAAACTTAGTTGATTCTAGTTCTCAGTGAGATAACCAGTTATATAGATATATGTATATATATGGAAATGGGTAAGTCGGGGTCCAACCTCGCCTGGCGGTTCTTCTCCACGCTCACCCGGGGTTAGTAGAGAAATACCTTGATTATGATAGGTTTAGCTGTGTATAATCTGTCTGCTGTTACGTCCGGGTTACATAAAACCGGAGAGCGGCTGGCAAATAAACTCCCGCGTCCCTTCTGGTCCGTGTACAGAAAAAAAGTCTCCTTGTTAGTCCTCCAGTATTTCTTGAGGGGAACGTACAAGCCTGAAGTTCACATTGAAAAAAAATGATCAGATATGGGGAAAACACATAGATTGCCACATCGGTAGTGGGTGAGGGAGTGAGGGATATTCACGGTCAATGTTTACACTTTAAAATTTGAATCACTACATGACTGGGGCCCGTCCCACCGGGTTGAAGGAAATCAATTCCATGTTCCCTAACTTGACAAGAATGATTAGGTATATTTGATGACAAGAATCACTATATTGTGCATAATGCAGTTCAATTAGTGCTAGGAGAATAAATATGAGGTCAGATGATAGCTTACCGTTCGAAATATGAAACTATCCGTAAGTATTTTGTTTCCTATCACAAGTTACCGCCTTATTATGGCAACGCCTTGCGAAGGTTCGTGTTCGTCCACCTACGATACAGAATATCAACAGAAAGGTTATTTTTCACAGCCCAAACTTGCAAAATAAGTAGGAAAAAGGGTTACTCCAATATACCTGTGAAACTCAGTTCGGTTAGCGACTCCGCGCTTTTCCCGCCAATATCCTTCAGGATATAAACTTTTCGGATCTATTTCACGACTCCGATGACTATAATATGCCTTTTGATTATACTTTGGGCAGAAGAAAAGATGAAAAGTTAACTGTACCCCAAACAGATTGTGAAATTTTAAATGTTGTTTTGACAATTGCTCATAGATGATAGACGGGTCATCCACTCCCAAACATGCGTCTATGATTTGTTTCCCACTTCAACTGAAGGCAAAGGCCACAGTCAAACAGACAGCCGCCGCATTCGAGACGAACCGAAGAATAAACTCAAAACTATATACCTACGCTCGCCGTAAGCTGAGGAAAAGGGAATACCTACCCAAATCAGCGAGGAAATTCAATTTCGAGTAAAATTCAAAATCGTTTAAAAACAGCACCCGATAAGGAGGACTCAAATCGATCTGGGAAAGACTATTCAAAATTCAACAACTGTCAAACTCCATCCATTCATCCACGCGCCCCCACAGAGATTCACTGCCTGATTACTTTTTTTTTTTTTTTTTTTATAAGTCTCAAGGCGAATATTTTAGTCGAATAGGAAAATCGACTCTTCCCTCAAGGCTACCAACCCAATCAATGAAGTTTGACAGCTACGCTGACGTAAGCGGTTCGCTATCATAGACAAAACAGCTGTCCTACGTGTGTCAGTGTCACGCTCTGTTTAAAAACAAACACTACATACTGTAACAATATAATATTTTGTAAAAAATATTACATCATTTAACGATGTGAAGTTTTTTGGTCTGTTAATTTTAATAAAGAAATTTTGCCTTGTCTTTGTATATATAATCCGCGACCGCTTAAGAAATACGACATCCTTAGTTATGTCAAAATAATGAGCAAATCCGTATAATATTCACATCGTCCTTTGTGAAATGTGCAAAGCGCATGTCACTCAACGTAAATGTACCTACGCAACTTTAAGCCTGTGAAGTAAATTTTAGTAGTTTCCATCGCAATACATTTTGCTTACAAGTCCTCAAAACGTTTGAAGTTGTCAGCGCTTTGAAAACTCTGATCACTTAGTTATATCCTAGATCTCAAACTAAAGCTCATATTGTAAATTTTGGGCTTTAATTTGAGTAATAGGATAGGATAGTAGATAGGTAGAGTAGTAGATAGACAGGATTCAAACCAGCACTTTATGATATCTGCGCGGATGCACTAATAGGTTATTTTGCAGTATGACAAATAAAGTACCAATTTTTGGCATCTGTATCCGTTTTAGGTATTCTGAGTGAACAAATAATTGATCTTTTCTAAAAAAATATTTTATAGATTTTTAGGGTTCCGTACCTAATATGAATTGTAAAATTTTAATTCTAAGCTCGCAAATTATCGATTCGATAAATTTTATGACAGACTCCACGTCTCTAATGACAATGAAGAACAATAATTTATTAGTTTCAAGTTAAGAACTAATTTTGAATTCATGGGCGCACAAACGTCAAAACGGCCATCATAGCGTGCCGCTACTATAACAAAATCGATGCACCCATTTATCTGTCTGTCTGTGAAGACCCTTAATCTCGGGAACGCGTAGAGTCGCAAAGGTATCTAGTTGTTCCGTATTCATCCTGTGTCATCTCATTCTACACATTTTTTTCTTATTAAAATGATCCTCAGACAACCCACACAAATTATTTCATATATAATTTCCTTATACATCCCGTCAGTGTTCCTAGTTCCACCCATTTCAAAATGACGTAATAGATGTTAACCAGTAACCTAATTTTAAAAAGGGTAAAATATGGAAACAAATCCATCTCTATTGATAAGTTAACCAAACATTTTAATAACGCACTATTCATACTTGAATCCGGAAACTAAAAAGATTTTTATTATATTTATTTCCATTTTTATTCACGGTTAATTGACTCTTAACCATAAATTTACTTCCACTCTCTACCTTTTATTTCTCAAATATCCATCAGTAATTTCTCCCGTAATTTGTTGATGAATGGAATAATAATAATATTCTTTATTGCACACAACAAAGGACACAAGACATAAACAAATAAAACAGATTGCAACACGGATTGCAAATAAAAAAGGCGTGTTTATTAAAATCATTAATAAAACATTGATTTATAGGCATAGCTTCATAAAATACGCGGGCATATTTACCTCTGCCTACGCAAACAAAAGATTTAATTGCTATAAGTAGGTATAGTTATAATGCAATTTTAGTAGCGAAGACTTTATTTAACTGTCAAAACTATTCGTTCTTAGAATTGTTTGCACCAGATTTAAATCAAATTTAAGTTAAATCCTTAGAATAATAACGCCAAGACAAGTATCTCAACCTCAACTTAAACAAGCGCGAGAATGCGTGCCGAATTCAATTTCTTGTGTGTGTAACTTGAATGTATCTACGCACACAAATACTTGATTTTAGTGTTACCATCACCAGTCGCAAACCCACAAATTGGCGCAACGTGATGCTTTAACAAAATATTTGGCAGGATGAATATAATTATGATCATGTATATTATTATATGCTATCTACTTATTATGGCAGTAAAATTTCAACGACAAAAAATTTACTTTTAACTTATCCATTTATTAGTAAAGAAATAATTTATTACGAAGCTTAGTCGATATACGTAGCTAAAATGTATAATTATATTACTCGTGAAATGTGTCTCTCTCACTTTATTATGTTTTTCAGTTATGTAAGAACTATTTTTAAATAGTGAAACTTTTTATTTATTTTTCAACCATTTTTATTAATTTTTCGCGTGCATTGTACGACATGATGCGCCGCTGAGCACTGACAGCTAGCGGAATGACAAACCATCATATCTGGCTCACTTGAGTTGCGCCTTTTTCGTGCGTGTACTTCTAGGCTTCTAGGCATCTAGGCGTTATAATTCTAAGATTAAATCCTGTTTAGCTCATCTGTTCATCTTTCTTAACTACATTCGCTCACAAAATAAAGCATCACCTTGTTAACTTTGAAATTACAAACGCAGCTGGCGTATCCAATAAAAAAAATATCTGAACTGGAAGTAAAAATAAAGAGTTTAATATATTCCGCATAACACCTTTCGGTTTAATTCAATAATCATTTTAAGATATCTTGACAATTTCAAGAAGATATTGCAGTTTTCAAGGTGACCCTTTATTTTTGCGAGAAGTAGATAATTTCGTAATTACCTAATTTATTGCAACCACGTGTATGATTCTGGCACTTCATTGGCTATTCGTATTTGCCTTAACTACATTTAACAGCAGTCTTTGCTTTTTATTCCTTACAGAGCATGATAAAAATGAACTACTGTCAAATTAAAAAAATCAAAGGAAAAAATCTAAACGATCCTCTCACAAAATATCACCGAAGAAAGACAATTTGATAAACTAAAAGTTTACCAAAATGTTAGCAATTTTATTTCTTGAGGAACTATTAATTTTTTTCTTTGATGATCATTTAAATATGTGCCAAATTCAAATACGAATAGTCATATGAAGTACTCCCACTATTAAGCGTAAATGTTCCATTTACGCATAATAATACGTCAAGTAGTGTAACTTTAATGGACTTGTTTCCCTTAGCCGCTGGAACTTTGGCATTCATTCTCATTTCAGATAACACATCTGATAAATAAATAATTACTATAGAAATTAAATAAACACTCATACTCACAAGGGACGCCTCCGCACCCAACAGAGTATTCAAATAGATGTATATAACATACAACTTATGTGCATAGAAGAAATCCGTGCTCAGCGGCAAAACGGCGAACAATAAATTGTGCGGAGTTATCGATATATTCACTTTGACACAAGTCGTCATGGCTGTATACAATATTTTCACAATAACAGATCTTGCGAACGCACTTATTGTAAATATAACGGTGAAAATTACTACAGCGTTGTCTATCATTGTGTATGGTGACATAGTTCCAAAATCATATACTCCTATTAGGCCGATGTTAAAGGCGTACGCTATGTGGTCCATTGAAGCTGTCTAAAACAAATGACAATCAGCTTAGTTACAAATAATAATACCTTTTAATCTTGTTATCGACATAATTATATGGGTGTATCATTAGACACAATGGAGAACCATAACAGAACAACAGTAAAAGCCTTGGGTATTAATAAGTTTCTGGTCTGCGTCTGCTGAATGAAATACATTTTCGAAAAGGACATTCGCCAAATGGGCCGATATTAATTATTTGAAGCCTTACTGTTTTCCCAGATACCATAAAATCGCCGAGGTATGCGTGGTGGTCGGTTTCCCAAACCCAAATGTTTCTGATTTTAAGGTATAACATGGGCTCCAGCATCAATATCAGTTTATTAATTTCCCCACCGATGGGGCTAAATTCATGAAAAGAACAGGTCATTGTCCTAATGGCCGGATTCAGAGGCGTGGTGGCCCTGGGGCAACGAAAACGAAGGAGTGGAGGCCCCTAAATCTGATCCAGGCCACTTACGTCCCTGGTTCGAGGCCAGTCGATTTTTGTTATTTTAACTTTTTTGTGGGGGCCCCTGTGTAACAGTCCCGCCAGTCCTGCCCTAACTGCAGCCCTGATTGCCCACCACGCTGCACTGGGCCCGTGTGGATTAGTAGGAACTACGGCTAAGCGTATCCCTCCAAGTCAAGTAACAATAACTATTAAGCTGAAAATATAAAAAAAAACATTAACCGGGATTGAATTTTACTTCAACTAACTCTTATTTTACGTGAATAGAACTAAGGCAAACACATTAATATCTTATCTTAAATCTTGCCGCTATGTAATATTCTCTCACTATAAGTAGGTACATCGCCCACAGGAATTGTAAAGTTGCAGTCTTGAAACGGAGTTAAGTCGTTCCCTGTGGGAATGTGATCATTCGATCCGTAAGTAAGCTACGCTCTCTTTGGATTGTGCTCAAGAAATCTAGTTGAATTTCAATGAAAATAAAATGTGAAAATGAAATATAATATTGGTTGTGTTTAAGGCTATCTCTTCATTTTCACCTTCCAAATTGTGAACGACTGGAATGAATTTTGCCTCAAGGTTTTTCCTCGAATCGTTTATGCAGTTTCATCGCTCAAATCAAACTCATGAAACGATGTTTAAATTGCTTTTGATATTGCCTGTGGCCATCGCGTTGCATTATAATGAACTTTATATAACACAAATAATAATTTAAAAAAGTTATAATTTTAATATTCATACTCACAAATGATGTAGGAGTATTTACTTCGAATATGTTCGCTATTGCCGATAGACTTTTAATGTTTGAAAATGCAAATATAATTAGGACCAAAACGGTGATTGTCGAATAAAATCTCCACAAGAAAGTCAATTTTAGAATCTGTAATAAAGGGAGAAATGAGAAAAAGCACATCGCGTATTATGATAAGCCTTAGTCTGTTAAGAAATAATAATTACTTTAATTAAAGTCTCGTCCGGAACAGTGGAGTAGAAAAAGTTAAATATCCAAACAAGCGCCGTAACAAAGAACCTTGTTGTTATTATATATTTGTCCTGATGCATAAATGATTTCCTAAAACCAATATTATCTTATTAATATATCATTAAATTGAAATGAACTGCTGTCCGCTAGTTCTCTTGACTCATATTTTTCGCTAGTCTATAATATAAAAAATAATCGCTGAATGTGTTGCTAAGCGCAAATCTCGAGAACAGCTGAACCGATTTCGATAAATCTCTTTTTAGAATATTCCTTGAAGTTCGAGGTTGGTTCTTACGCAGAGAAAAATTTAAAAAAATGCCTGATAATGGCATAGACATTATGGCATTATGGCATATTGCCATAATGTCTATGGATAGGTTTTAGCTATTTGTGATGAAAAATTATCAGATCGCATTATTTGTTCTGTCACTCCTCTTTAAGCATGGGAGCAATTTCAAATAAAGGTTTTTTTTTAATTTATTTACTTTACTTACAAAGGTGCCTATAATATTCACAGCATTGCCACTCTATAAGGCAAGAGAGCTTTTACCCGAGAGACAACTCAGAGCGAGTCCCGAGTTTTTTGTCCGAGTTGGCTACCCTGTTTACGAACATCATACTCAACATATTTTTGAGTTCAAATTATTCTAAATACTTTTACCTTTCTGTCTTCCCCCTGTTAAATTATGGAGACGTCACTACAGAACATTATTACTGGCTACAGTTTTCTTCAGCAAGTAACCTAGGAAATGAACTACAACAATAGAGGAGTTCATTTTTCCCCTTAACATGTAAAGCCGGCTCTTCGTATTTGCTATTGATAATCTTAACAACTGTATCTCCTTATCATGCTTTATAAGGAATGAAAAAGGACAGATTGATGTCAAGTTTACAAAAAGCAAACACGAATAGCCAAGAGAAGTGCCGGCATGAGACAAAGGCAAATATTTTTATACAACATTTCTTACAAATAGTTTATGTGTGCTGAGGTGTTGTTGAAACTTGTGAAATCCTTGTTGCTACATCGAAGGAGGACGTCTCTAGATGACACGCAACTCATATTCAAATCAGTTTTCTGACATTTCGACCACGAAGGTGACGATTTTAAACTCGCTGCCAGAAAACAAACTGAGTCCGCTAAATCACTCGAGTGCTGTAAACAGAGAATTCCTTAAATATTTTTTCTTTTTTAAGTACTACAGGATAATATAACAACATAAATTAAGGTTAAGATATTATATTATACCTATACTTTATTATATTATAATAGACAGAGAGGTAAATGAAAGTGGAAATAACAACATGTAGGTAAACAAATATTGCTGTAGATAAAATGTAGCACGTAACACACTTAATGAAGATAAACAGAGCCACCACAGGATTGATCCAAAACTATTGTTCGTATTCTGACGATGCAGAACTGAAAAGGCTGCGAAACGTCAATAAATAAATAAAGTTCATGCATTCATCCGTTAAAAATAGTTTTATTTATTGTTCGAGTTTCCATTTAATTTGATTGCAAGTCTCTCAATTACAAAATACAAGATCGCGCCGATATAAAAGCGGAATTCGTGTTTGAAAATTGAATATTGGTTTTAATTGATTTGGTCAAAATCTGCCAAAACAATACAACGAGCAAATAGCCCGCGGCAAATTCAGTTGGTATTCGCTTTTCAACATTTTGCTTATTTACTGTAAAATGAGTTCCGACCACACAAGGTAAAGCTCTAATGAGAATGACAAACACACTTACACACAACTCATTAATTGTAGTTTGGCTATTGTGATGATTATTCTGCATGCAGGGATATTTTTGTAAAATGAGTTCCAACCATACAAGGTAAAGCACTAATGAAAATGACAAACACACTTACACACAACTCGTTAGTCATTAATTATTATAGTTTGGTTACTGTGCTGATTATTCTGCATGCATGGATATTTTGAATCGTGTTATCAGTTCCTTGTATTATTCGTAATCAAATAAATTCTAAATCTGCTTTTGCATTAGAGAGTTCGTGGTAACTAGGAGGCAGGCAAGAGTTTTATTTTATTTTAGTTTTGATCATTTTTTTTTATAAATAGCTTTGCTTGCTTCTGTAATTTGTTTCTATTGAATAAGCTACGTAATAAGCGTCGCCGAGGTGGCCTCGTTCTGTCACCCTGGGAGTTTTGTACGTTTTGAGAACGGAATAGGAAGAATAGGGGATAGTACAGTCTACAGAGACTGAACGAAGAAGGACCGGAGAAGAAGAGAAGAAAAGAAAACTACGAGCTAGAATATATGTGGAGAAAATCAACTGAACTCATCTGAGGCTGTACGAACTTAGATAAATGTATAGTGATCTTATTTTTATTTATTTTTTTAATTTCCAACTCTTACGCCAATTAGCCTAGCCCCAAAGTAAGCACTGAAAGGTTGGTGTTATGGGATACTAGGGTAACGGATAGGATACATATACTGTTTATATAAGTATATTTACATAGAAATACATATGGAACAACCATGACTGGAGTACAAATGCTCGTATTCATAACACAAACATTCGAACCCGGGACCTCTAGAGTCGGCCACACCATGAAACCCGGCTTTCAAACCACAAATCAAATCAAATATAGGAATAATAGGAATAGTCTCTACATAGATCATCAATACGTTGTGCAACTAGAAAATACATAGGTATAAATACAGAGCACAAATAACAGCAGTGAATTGAGGTAAGCTCTTCAATTGACGGCCACTCAGAGTGATACAGCATTCAAGTTAATCTAAGCTTAGGTTCGGCTTTGCGATTTCCGCGTGGCAGGAAAATTCGCACCGTCAAATTGACGTACAGCAGAATAATACCGACAACGCGGCGACGTTACGGCATGGCTTGCAACGGCCTCTAGTGCTCTGTAATTATCTCAAATAAGGTATCAAATTCTGACCATTATTAGTGGTCAAAAACACAATATCCTGCCTGCAGTAGTTGCCAAATTGAATTTCTGCGGTAATGATGCGGTTTAATTATGGGTATAGGAACTATGTAATCAAAAGGCTCACATTTGATTATTATAAAAGCGTTGTCAAATTTACTGAATTTAATTTAAGGCTTATCAAAGTGACATATTGTCTTCTTGTTGTCTTTAAAATGTCTCAATGTCCTAAAATTCTATTTTTATCACAAGCAAAGTGATAGCGTCAAAGTTGATGAAACATTATAATTTGACGTCTCTGAGTCCAGCTGTTATATCAGAAAGTAATCTTAACACTGATGGCCTGCGCAGACGAACGATTTTTGTCCGTGGAGTACAAAAGTCCTTGAAAAAATGGCCGCAGAAAGACTTGTTACGTACTCAACGCAAACGGTAGCGGTCATTTTTTGTTGCTAGAAATTTTCGAAAAACGAAAGCATATATGCTTAAAGGGCGGTGCTTTATAATAAACATGAAGCTTAAGGAAAAGAAAAAAGTTTTAAAATAAAATACTGGCTCTATCCCTTTGTATCGGATCGAGCGCGGAACGCATACTAAAGTTTCCTGTTACGTTGCTGCGCCAAGTCACAAAAAGTTATATTTTTAAGGCGACACCCGCGTACTATTGTCCTGTCCAGTCTCAAGGCGTCCTTGATAGTTCGGGGTACTTTACCTAGGATTTCGCAATAGAGCAATATAAACGCGGTCTGAAGGGGAGAAACCATACGCTTTCCCCTCTGCTAGAAAATCTGCAAGTATATGTCCAGTTGGGAATATGATAGAGAACTGGGCGAGATTTGGCGGTAGGTATATTATGTCATTTTTTATATGTTCGGGTCGTTATTAAAGTTTTTGCTTTTCATAGAAGTATACAGTACCACAAGCACGAACTTCGCCAGATTCGTGATTGTATTGCAATATCAAAGTGTCTATGGAAACTAAGTACCTCCTCTAGACGTAAGCTCTGACTCTTCAGTGGCTCCTTCCGTAGAAAATTTGACGATGGCGATACGATTAAGGATCTGTCACATCTGATTCTGGGATTTTAATTCTTTAATTCTCGAAATTTATTTGTAAGATATCGCTATGTATACTCCCTTTCAGGTCGCTTCCTTGTCGCCCAACTAATAAATAAATAAATAAATATGTCCAACACTCACACCAATTAGCTTAGCCCCAAAGTAAGCACTATAAAGCTTGTGTTATGGGATACTAGGGTAACGGATAGCATACATATACTGAGCATATATAAGTATATTTTTATAGAAATACATACTAAACATCCATGACTGGAGTACAAATGCTCGTATTCATCACACAAACAACTGCCCCCACCGGGACTTGAACCCGGAATCTCACTTTAGTAGAAAGCTTAGCGAAACATATTAGAAAAATCAAGCCCAGTACTCACTAATAAAGTCCATAGAGCGGATTGCAGCAATATTCCATACGTGATACCTTTGAGAAGTGGATTCAATGTACTGTTAAAATCAATTTTACGTGTGTACTGTTTTATGAAACAATCCATGCACATGTAAGTCATTCCTATTGTGATTTCACATATCAAGAAATCTAGTATACGCACTGAAATTTAAATAATTGATTAATTAAAGGAGACCCGGCACTTTTCATAGAACAAATGCTAAACTTGTATACAGTTGAATTTGGTCTCAAAATAAAGCCAAAATTATTTGCTACATAAAACTACTTTTGCCTTATTTTTAGTGAATCGTGAAAAGAAGTTATTTAATGATTAATATTTTTTGATATAGAAACCCTTTTGATGACAAACCTACGTATTTGACATTGACAGCTAGCTGGTGATGACAAATATTGCCAGACTACGTTACCCAATTATGAAACACAGATAAAAAAATTAAAAAAGTATACAACTTTGGCACAAAATGCCGGGTGTCCTTTAATAAAGTGAATTGTTTATTTAGTAATATAATCACATTTTGTAAATACCAATTCTGCACGAATATCTAACAACGTTTTTCAACACATTTGCGAGAAAACAGTATCTATACCTAATGTAATGAAGCAATCCTTTTCCAATCGAGGAGCTCGATGGCGCGGGTGGTTAACGCGTTCGGCTGCGATCGTTAAGTTAAGCAACTTTCGCAGTGGTCGGTCAGTGGATGGGTGACCAAAAATCTTCTATCTTGAGTTCCTCCGTGCTTCGGAAGGCAGCGTGGCGTGTTAAGCCGTTGGTTGGCACTGGGCCTGCGTGGTGGGTCATGGTCCAATCTCCCTATTCCATCCATAGGGAAGGCCTGTGCTCCAGCAGTGGGGACATTAATAGGCTGATGATGAATAATTTTCTAATAAGAAATTGGCACGCATTTTTATCTTTCGTCCGTTTTTCTTTTTAGTATTAAAGTAAGGTATAGATTAAAAGCACTTTAAAAGAGTTTCGGCCGTAATTTGAAAAAAATACCCTAAAGGATACGCACAGCGCCCTGTATGGGAGCGTGCGGTAAAGTGTTTTACTGCACGCTCCGTTGCATGGCTCGTAATTTTTAACTTTCGAACAATTTATACAACCTCCTTTAATGCACTTTTTGAGCAAATGTGTTGAAAAGATTATTAACGTATTGCAACGCAAAACTTCGTATCGTCATCATAAGCTTATTAATGTTTACATTACTGGAGCACAGGCTTTCCCTATGGATGTAATAGAGAGTTTGGGTATCCACCCTGGCCCACCACGAGAGCCCAGTGCAAATAAGTGGGTGGTAGCTAACGACTGCAAATGCAGCCAGGACCAACGGCTTAGCTTGCTCTCCGAATCACGGAGAAACTCGCGATAGTCTTTTTGTTGTGTCACTAAACAGGCCCTGCCAGAATAACAGCGCTGGTGTGACACGATGTTGCATCAGCCAGGGCTTGAAACCGGTTTCGAAAATACCGGTAAATAAAGGTTAATACCGGTTTTTAGTAAAGGTTTCGTTTGGAGCGCGTCCGAAAAGAAAGCGGTAGCTAAAACCTTAATAAACCGGTTTAATCCAAAGCGACAGGTGCACGCGTCGGCATCGCTTGAAGTTTGTTTTGTTTGAAGTAACCAAGTCAAAATTTGTTAATTCTCAGAGATTGATGCATTTATTGACACGTTTGCTAGCGTCTAGTGAGTCAAGTTATTCATTTATTATCGATGCCGTCAGAAAGAGCGAAATTAAACCCTTTAAAAACCGCTAAATTGATTCAAAACCTATTTGATTTCGCTCTTTAGGAAAACCGGTTTTTTAAGGTTAAGGTAGAGGCAAATCTGAATAAAACGCTCGTAATATACTTTACACTGATTTCGGTTTGAAAATTAACCGGTAAACAAGCCCTGGCATCAGCTAATGCTTAGGCAGGGTCCTGGTTAGTCCTGAGATTTTTGAATTTGTATCTGTAAATGAAGGTTAATAAAATATATTCTATTCTATTCAATAGTACTTTTTTGTTCACCGATCCTGTGACCGGTACCCGAAGCACGAATTTTGACATATTCGTATTCGTATCGCCAACGTCAAAGTTTATAGGGAAACTAAGCAGCGTCCCTACCTGACGTAAGAACAAATTCTCTAACTCTTAGGCCGGGACTCCACCAAAGCGGAGACGAGGCGAGCGGAGAGGAGATCTTTCTAAACAACCAATAGAATTGTGTTATTGACACATCTCCTCTCTGCTCAGCTTCAGTGGATATCGCTGTGCGGAGATGTGTAATATTTGTATGGCGCGATGAGCTGTGAGCGCACGACGCGCTGTGGAGACGAGAGATGTGAGCGGCGTGCAGTGAGCGGTGCCACCCTCCCCCTCTCGTCCGCCAGCATCCGCAGAGCCCTGCTAAGCACTCAACGTCTCGCACCCGAGCTGTAAAACATCTCCTCTCGCACAGTACACCGCACACATCTCCGCTTTGGTGGAGTCCCCCGAGCTGAAAAACGTCTCTTCTCTCACAGCACACTGCTCACCGCACACATCACCGCTTTGGTGGAGTCCCCCGAGCTGAAAAACATCTCTTCTCGCACAGCACACAGCACACCGCACACATCTCTGCTTTGGTGGAGTCCCGGCCTTAATTCAAAAACTGTCAAAACTGGCTTTTTGGAAACTTTGACATGGTGACACAAATACTATATCGTTAGTTGTTCGTGCATAGGGTACGTACGGTTCATGATCGCAGAAAGAACGCATAACCTTTCGCATCAACGAGCTTTTACATTTTTACCTTCTAAGTATATAAAATTCTTACTAGAAAAATAAATTTCTATGAATAATTTATCAAAGACTTGCACTGTGTACACTTAACTTAAAAGTATTCATTTTTATAACAGAAGAATTTCTTGGAAGAAATTGCATTTTATCTGTTGAGAATTTTCCTTAGATATTTAAAAGATGTCGAGCCTTAGACGAGTAGATATTTTTCTAGTAAATGTTTTCTTTAGATGGCAAATTCAAGAAATTTAATGCTTTTAATAAAAATGTTGAAAAGTCATATACTGTTTTTAGCTTCCCATGCCGGGCAGGGAATGAGGGAACTGTTGAATGCACCAGCTGCTAAATTCCCTGCGCAGATTGCAAAAATACACTAATGGACAAGCAATAAAGGACTGGCAACCTATAAACGTTTTGTATTGTACCCACAGACGTAGATTCATGTAGATGATGCATGTGCACCAACATGTATGAAAAACGTGAGACGAGTGAGCGTGTCATATTTTGAGAACAGGTGACTAAAAAGCATGGACCACATCCTAGGTTAATTAAGAACAATTTCATAATTTTAAAAAGTTGCAAATGACATCCAGCGCCGAGAATTGAGACGCGAAGAAAAAAAAATTACTATAAAGGATGACCATCGGCCAAGCACACGACTTAGGCATTTGTCCCACTGCCGGTGAGGAAGCGACTAACAATCAGCTATTTTCTCGCTCAAGAAAAATAACAATTAATTGTTGATCGCTGACTGTTCACACTGCCTGCGAGAACTCGCTCCACAAGTTTGTCGCTGAGCTACGAGAGCTAAAAGATAATACTCGTTCAGCAATACTTCCTAATAGTTGCCCTTAACTGCTGATGCCGGCGAGAACTCACTCCACTAGTTTGTCGTTTAGTTACAAGATCTATCAAAGACAATACTCGTTCAGCAATACTAACTCAGCGATACTCGCTTGGATGACAAAACACTTAGGCGTGCATTATTGCCTACTAGTTTGCCGCTATGCGACAAGAGCTACAAATACAATGTTCTTTCAGCAATACTCACTAAGCACTGTCACCGCGAGCGACTGGTGCGAGTAATCGCCCGTTGAACTCGCACATTCATTTATAGCCCAGCGATAATACTATCAAAACCACACACTCGATTCCTACTCACTAAGCACTGTCACCGCGAGCGAGTGGTGCGAGTAACCGCCCGTTAAACTCGCACATTCACTTACAGTCCAGCGATAATACTATCAAAACTACACACTCGCTTCTTACTCACTACGCACTGTCAGCACGAGCGAATGGTGGGAGTAACCGCCCGTTGAACTCGCACATTCACTTACAGTCCAGCGATAATACTATCAAAACTACACACTCGATTCTTACTCACTAAGCACTGTCACCGCGAGCGAATGGTGGCAGTAACCGCCCGTTGAACTCGCACATTCATTTATAGCCCAGCGATAATACTATCAAAACTACACAATCGCTTCTTACTCACTAAGCACTGTCACCGCGAGCGACTGGTGCGAGTAACCGCCCGTTGAACTCGCACATTCATTTATAGCCCAGCGATAATACTATCAAAACTACACACTCGATTCCTACTCACTAATCACTGTCACCGCGAGCGACTAGTGCGAGTAACCGCCCGTTGAACTCGCACATTCATTTATAGCCCAGCGATAATACTATCAAAACTACACACTCGATACCTACTCACTAAGCACTGTCACCGCGAGCGAGTGGTGCGAGTAACCGCCCGTTGTACTCCCACATTCATTTATAGCCCAGCGATAATACTATCAAAACTACACACTCGATTCTTACTCACTAAGCACTGTCACCGCGAGCGAATGGTGGGAGTAACCGCCCGTTGAACTCGCACATTCATTTACAGCCCAGCGATAATACTATCAAAACTACACACTCGATTCTTACTCACTAAGCACTGTCACCGCGAGCGAATGGTGGCAGTAACCGCCCGTTGAACTCGCACATTCATTTACAGCCCAGCGATAATACTATCAAAACTACACAATCGCTTCTTACTCACTACGCACTGTCACCGCGAGCGAATGGTGGGAGTAACCGCCCGTTGTACTCCCACATTCATTTATAGCCCAGCGATAATACTATCAAAACTACACCCTCGATTCCCAGTGTCAGCTCAATTCTAGCTCTAATCGTTTGTTCATCGTAGGCTGTGGAACAAGTGCCTTATTCTTGCCTATTAAAACAGATTTAAAGATGGTCAAAAATGTGTTTCTTTGTGATAGAGTCTGTGCGGAAAGAGAATGAGCGTGGCGAAAAACGGAACTAACATTAAGATTTTTATTTGGCAATCAAACCCAGCAATCTGTAAAACATCAAAGTTTTGTATTGATACGGATTTGTTCGTTGTTGTGATTTCTTACGCTTTTTTGTATTTAATCATGTCTAAAAGGGGTAAAACCTTACAAATACGGTAGAAAAGCACTACAGCGCCCTCCAATCTAAATCCCATTCTCTTTCCGCACAGACTCTATTAAATTTTTGGCAAAAGTGACCAGACCGGCCTTTTGCGACAGTTGCCCACATTCTTAAAACTTTTTACAGTAATATGTTTTTTATTTAATATGCTTCTTACTATAAAACCTACCGTTTTCATATATCCTTGAAAATATATCGTAGTTTGATGCAGAGAAGGAAACGGCGTGTGCGATATAAATAAACTTCTTTATGCTTTTCCATTTGAAATGATCTATTATATAAAACTGAAAGAGAAACAAAGGTAAATTTTATATTTGATATGGTTTTTACGAGCAAGCAAGATTTAAAGGTAATAGGGATGGTGACTATTTTTTTTCTTCGTTTATCAGGTATCAGGTATATTCGTATATCACATAATATAAACATTGCAGAGATAATTATATTCATTTGAAAAGTTGCATGACGTCACGTTTGAGTACACTTTTAAGTTAAAATTCACTAAAAAGTGACGTCACAAGGCCCAACTCCCAAACTTTGACGCGCTATAACTTTTGTCATTTTTTGGTTGATTGCCCAAATAAAAAACACGTCTCCACTATTTTTTGATCATCTAACTGACGGACTAAATAGAATTTCGTTTACTGTACCCCGTCATCACCCCTTACCCCAGGTACAAACTATGTCAAATCCTTAATTGTATAGATCTACATCGTCTTTCTTTGGAAACTAAGCAGCGCTACTACCGGATTTAAGAACAAAATGGCTGCTTCCATAGAAAATACGATGCTTCAATAGGGAGCCGCTCGTCAAAGAAGCGCATATGCATTAGTTTTTTAACTAGACAGTGCTGCACCGTCCCTTCGAATTCGTAGCCTTAAAGTATACATATCAAAAAGAAGTTACTTACTTTTGAATTTTTGACTGATGACAAAGATGAACTCGAATTGTTATCGATAGTAGCTTGATGGTAAGGCATCGTACATTTTCTTAACTATCTACAATAGCAATAATTTAATCTAAGTAAATTTTCAATTGAGGAGCTCGATGGTGCAGGTGGTTAGCGCGTTCGGCTGCGATGGTTGAAGTTAAGCAACTTGGGATGGGTAACCAAAAACATCTATCTCGAGTTCCTCCGTGTATCGGAAGGCACGTTAAGCCGTTGGTCCCGGCTGCATCTGCAGTCGTTAGCACCCGCCAATCCGTACTGGGCCCGTGTTGTGGGTCATGGCCCAATCTCTCTATTCCATCCATAGGGAAGGCCTGTGCCCCAGAAGTGGGGACATTAATAGGTTGATGATGATGATGAAATTTTCAATTAACTAGCTGATAGTTATTTAATTATTGCCAAACTTGTTTAATTTTTTTTTAGTTTTGACTCTATTATTAACCTTTCACCGTTGCTGGCCTACGATATTAGTATGAACAAAGTCATCAGCCAGAAGAAAGAATAATTATTTCAACCATCTCACGAAAGCAGCGAGAAAGCGATCTAGCTTAAAGTTAGCGCTGGACATTCTCGCCTTTGCAATGGCGTATCAAACAATTAGACGCTACCAATAAATTAATAGAACTCGTGTGTCCATACAAAGCACACAACCCGATCAGAGCATAGGATAATGTCAATAATCCAGACAGACACGCGTAACCTTGAACTACCCTGGCTGGGAAACATCAATAAAATTAATTTCAGGTTCACTACAGTACCCAAATATTTAAACATCACGAAATTCAACCATGGCCTCTATAAACCGCATTGTATTCACGGCCGCCGATTGATTCCGAATACAACATCGACAGTTCAGTTCGGTTTTTACCTCAAATATGCAATATTGCTGTGTAAACTTGACCTTACTACCATTTTTTGATTGTTTATACGGTAGAGATCGCACTACATAGTAGGAGGTAATCTCTGGATCTACTGCACCGATTTTGAAAATACCCTTTCAAAAATCGGATTGTCTACACGGGGGACATCGCACTGCATATTGGCAGCCAACACAGAAACCTTGTTAAGTACTTCATGCAGTCTAAGATTGCACTAAGATATATGAGTATGAAAATTGATAAATAATAAATTAATAAATATTTCCAACATTCACGCCAATCAGCCTAGTCCCAAAGTAAGCACTGCAGGCTTGTGTTACGGGATACTAGGGTGACGGATAGAATACATATATTTATATGAGTACGTTAGAGGAGCTCGATGGCGCAGGTGGTTAGCGTGTTCGGCTGCGATGGTTGAAGTTAAGCAACTTTCGCAGTGGTCGGTCATAGGATGGGTGACCAAAAACATATATCTCGAGTTCCTCCGTGCTTCGGAAGGCACGTTAAGCCGTTAGTCCTGGCTGCATCTGCAGTCGTTAGCACCTGCCAATCCGCACTGGGCCCGCGTGGTGGGTCATGACCCAATCTCCCTATTCCATCCATAGGGAAGGCCTGTGCCCCAGCAGTGGGGACATTAAAAGGCTGATGATGATGATGTTTAATATAGAAATACATATTAAAAATCCATGACTGGAGTTCAAATGCTCGTAGTCATCATACAAACATCTGGCCCCACCGGGATTCGAATCCGGAACCTCTCGAGTAGGCGGCGGACATCTTGGAACCAGGCGTACAAACCGCTCGGCCACGGAGGTTGTCAATTAAGGAGTAAGAGACTCATTTACATCAACAGTGCCCCTGTGGAGAATACAAATATTTACTAACAAAATATAACGCATGTTAAGATTACCTTCTTCCTAAGATTATATTACCAAAACGAAGAATATGCACTTTCCAATAACAACAACAACTTTCAAGTGCAGAATTTATTTAAACTAAACTTCATTATTTATTTAATCCGAATATACAAAATATCATCAATTTCAGTATGAGTTTGAGGTTAATCAACGACAATGTAAATTTTCAGTATTCCTTTTCATTGATTTCAATTAAACGATTGGAGAGTATATACTATCTGAAGAATAAAATATGATTCACATCAAATCTTTGATTCTCATAACGAATTTCCACAACAGGTTACCTGTAGTAACTTTATAAATTCCTTAGGTATTAATCGTTAAAATGATGAAAATTTAATTTTGCAGAGAGGTTTAAAATTATTACAGGCAACCTACTGACTAAAACATCCCCCTATTTTCTCCACTGACAATAGGCGCAGATTGTAACATGCATTAATTTACACAGTCATGGTAGTTGCTCACTTCTAGGAATACGAATCATTTACTAAATGTAACTAATATGGAAGGCTGTCGTCGTCAATAAATTGCAAGAGAAATAAATGTAAAATTTATTTCACTCTTAATCTCAGTGTAGGGTTCCGTACTTGCCCGTCGTTGCCACAATATATATAGACTTTCTTATTTAAGCATACTTTCATAAATATGAATTTGGTTTTCTCGGTTCTTATATTGTTAAAGTCTGAGATTCAAACAAAAAGGGAAGATAAGGCACTCGTGGTTCAAAAGTGATCCGCTTAAACTGTGGTGTATGACCACAATTCGCTCAAGTAATTTCGCTTTTGGACATTCAAACACGCTGCATGTGCACTAAAATATAATAATATTGCGTATTATCTGTGTTATGAAGACAAAACAATGCCTTCGATTCTTTTATAAAGAACACAAAATGTTCAAGACCAAATAAAAAATCCACGGCAACACTTTTCCTTCGTAAAACTATGAAATCATTTTGACGTGACAACGTCTTAAATTAGGTTGCGGCTGGGAGTCACTTATGAAAAAGTGTAACGCTCGGTAACGTTACGATGAGTCTCTCGTGTTAAGTTTAAGTTTACATGTACAATGTTTTAGTAAACAAAATATATTTCTATAGTTAAAATTTGTGCAATTCTTATTTTCATTCAATTCCTTGTTCCTATTGTGCAATTTAATTATATTCATATCAATAAATATTCTACCGAGAAAAAGACGTTGTCACGTAAAATCTTCGCCCGTAAAACCGACTTTACAGGCAACCATTTTTTTTTTTCTTAGAAATCACGGTATATCATGAATGTTTTTTACTTTTTCGCCATTTGTTATTAAGAAAAGTACAAAATAGAGCTCAGCCTTTGTAGAGAGAGAAAAGAAAACGCACTCGCCAAACTAAGCGACGCGAACTCGCCGTTTCGCTCGCACTGCGTTGAAGCATACAGTTCTGGCTCGCTCGCTCGATGGAATGTTTATTTACAAAAGTATGCGTGCGTGACAGTTGCATATGTAGTTGAGTAGGAGCATATTTTATTTGATGCTAGTATGAGCGTACCGTATCTTCCCTTTTTGATTTAATCTAAGTGTATAATAAATGCTAAAACTATTCTTACTTTTCGACCTAACTATAAGTGTGAGTGGTGGTCAACAAGGCAGCAAGTTTCTAAGCGATATATGCCAGCTCAGATTCAGATTTCAGTGCTATTTCGGTAGTTGTAACATTGCAATGGTTTCTGATTTCCATTCCAGAAGGTGATCTAACTTTGAGCATGTACCGGAGTATATAGTTACCTACTCTGCCATAATAATTGAATACAAGAGAATTTCCACTTTGGTTAACGGAAATGCTAACTTAGCTAAGAACATTACCTATGTTCTTAGCTAAGCTACAGAAGCGAGATGGTTTGTCTTTTGAATTTGAGCATCAGCCTGGGGAAGTAAACTCCAGCTTATACTTTTTTGACGTTTTGTTTCTATTGGTGAATAAGATTCCATCATTTCGTTCAGTACCCTTAGTACGAGTTTGAGCTCACGAAAACTATCATAATTTTCGTAATTGTAAAATATGTTTCTATGTCAAATATATAACCAAATATACTTTAAATTTGTGTCTTATATACGATTTAATGATAGAATTTAAAAACTTTATATTTGTATTGAAACGAAAACAATAAAGTCAGTACCCTTAGTACGAGTGCGAGCTCACGAAAACTATCATAGTTTTCGTAATTGTAAAACTCGTACTAAGGGTACAGTTCAAGGATTGGATTCAGACCGGTACGTTGAAAATGGCTGGAGCGGTACACTTTACTGTTGCACACACATATTTGAAATCGGACTCTGCTTACTCTTGATAAATAAATATATTATAACACTCACACCAATTAGCCTAGCCCCAAGTAAGCACTGTAAGGCTTGTGTTATCAGATGCTAGAGTATCGGATAAAAAAATATACTCATACATATTTTAAGTATCGTATTTATGTAGAAATATCATAAACACCCAAGACTTAGGTACAAACAAATGCTCGTATTCATCAGAACATTTGCAGCTACCAAAAGTCGAACCCGGGACCTCTGAGTAGGCGACACATTGAAAAAAGGCGTACATACCACTCCAACCACGGAGGTCGCCAAATGAATCCAGATGAGGTGTACTAATTTTATGTGCTTTGTTTGAAATAAAAACATAAAACTTCAACATCGTAAACATTCTGTTTAGGCACTGAACAAAAGCACATTTATAATGGCGAAAATATAAGCATGACGCAGGTTTGCTTCATTGTAGAAAATCTTGAAAGGCCACTTGTTAGTAAGTTTATTTTGCAACTTTGACATTTACGCAAAAGGTTTGGACCTAGGGTTTCCTTTTAAAATAAGAAGTGAAGCCTTTTAAAGTTAAACCTAACTCATTGTACCTACTGAAAGGGCAGGTTGTTTTATTGCGTTCCAGCTAAGTTTATTTTGTCGCCAATGTCACGCGGCGCCCCCGGTAGTAGGTTTACGCAACACAAACACTGGAGGGTTTCTGCTGAAATAAAGGCTGTTAGAATACAGCACCGAGGCGAGAACTACACGCCACGCCAAGTATACATCATAATTCAAACCATGGAGCAACTATCATAGCGGGTAGTATATGTAAATATAAATATTTCCAACACTCACACCAATTAGCCTAGCCCCAAAGTAAGGCTTGTGTTATGGGATATACTAGGGTAACGGATAGAATACATATACTTTACATACATAAGTATATTTATATAGAAATAAATATTAAACGTCCATGACTGGAATACAAATGCTCGTATTCATCACACAAACATCTGCCCCCATCGGGATTCGAACGCTCGGGACCTCACGAGTCGGCGACACCATGAAACCCGGCGTACAAACCACTCGCCCACGGGGGTCGTCACATCAATCAGTCAATGTGTGCGTCAAATCTAATAACACTAGTAAAATTAATTGCATGCTGTTCCCTTAATCCCACCCATAGACTCATATAGTATCATATATAGTATCATATTGGTCTGTAGGTTACGCATAAAATTAAAAAGAAAATAAGAAAACTTAACTCACAACCCTTCCCGATGTGTGGCGCAATTGGGTTTAGGATCTCCTGATCTGTTCTTATTTTGAAGTGAGATAAAAATTTTATAGTCCTTAACTTTTATCGGGCAGGAGGACAGGACGCTTCAGGGCGTTTTCCCGGTTGTTTGTTCGTTAGTTGTTAGCTAGTTGTTTATATTTATTTATTTATTGATAAATAGTTATTTTTTTTAACTCGGTGATATCACGCCAGCAAATTCATAAGGTGGTATTGGACCCCATCATAGCATCGTAACGAGATTCTTCGTCCAAGGATCTTATTGTCTACCTTTGCAGTCAATCAGCACTGGGCGCGCATGGAGGGTTATAACTTCGAACTGAGTTGCAAACCTAATTAAAGGTTGGGGAAGTAGCTCTACAGACTGTTTAATACTACCTGTTTAAAACTGAAATACGATAAGGTAGGTACTGGATAAAATTCTCAATTTAAGATTGTATGATACACAATGAAGTTACTCAAGTAGTTCAAGGCAACTAAATAAATCATGTACTTTGATTCGTTCATGAAGCAGGCACGATATAAAATTACCTAGTTGATCGCGTCGTGCTTCTCAGATAATCTAACGGATCATATACCCTTTGATGCTTCAATGTTCGGGCTGCTGTACCAAGATCCAGTTCTTATAAGCACTTTAGGGCGCTTATATTGTAAGTACTAAATCACTAGCTAACCTTCGAGGTTGTAGGAAGCATCCTCGTGTCCAATTTCAAGGGCATGCATTATGTTTTTAATAAAAAAGACTAACTTATAGGTAGATGACCATACCAAATAGGCTCTATTTCTCTCACTTAATAAGAGCTAAATGTGCTAAGTTATTAGCTAGTTGACTGATCCTAATTAACAAACAGATGTAGTGCACAAAATCCCAGTTGACACTGTAAGACCAGGGGCGTGTTTACGCAAAGTCCAAGGGGGCCATGGTGCGGGGAGGCTGCAAGAGCAACGAGAGGCAGCAGCAGCTACAACAGCCAAGAGATTCGTTGCTTCTGACCTATTTTTTTATTTACTATGTTAGACCCGCGCTTTGATAGGTAAGTTAGCTTCTAGCTATATCTAAAAAGCTCAGCAGCTGTGTGTGGTCTTACTTAGGCTAAATTACCACGCTTAGAAAAGCCAATTATTTATAAATTGGATTTTTGCGATAGCATTATGCTACGGCTAAACTTTTGCACTATCGCGAACATTTGCCGACTTCACGACGCAACTAACCAAGCAATAGTCACATTTCTAACCGAATTCTCTGATTATGATGATGATTTGTTAGACAGGTCAGTGTAACCGTGGCATTAGAACAAGAGACACATCACTTTAAAAGCATTCAATTTTATAAGTGGTTATGAGTACGGTCGTTGGTGCCAGTTCAGATTATAGGCTCGATTCACAGGCTTCAATTCAACTCTTATTCATTGCGCGATCACAAAGCTGAGTAACAATAGTCTAGGATTAGTACGGATCAATATATCCAAAGCGCGATTGAACGAGCATTACATTGAACATCACCGTGTCAGAATTTCGTACTCAGCACGGATCAAAAATTGCACCAAATTGTGTACGAAGCAATTTTATACTAAGCCGTGCACGTTGCGTAGGAACTGCCAAACGGTTGTGGATTATAAATGACAATGACAGTGTCAAGTAAAGTTCATATAAAAAACTTGCGGTTTTGCCTGTGATAGGTAACTCGCGAGCGTAATCATCAATTGAATGCACTACAGAAGCGATAACCAGACACAATACAGATCCCTGTAAAATAACACTGCCTTTTGGTGGTTTCTGTGGGTGATTAAAGTTCCAGGCGTAAGGGACTGGTTCAAGGTACACAACAGCGCAAATGATATTTTTGGTATCGCAAGCGTCTATAGCTTTTGGTAGCCGCTTACCATCAGGTGAGCCATACGCTTGTTTGCCACCCCTTATATACCATAAAAAAAAAACCATCGAGCCCTTACCGCCAAATTATCGTAAGCGACACTTTTGTCGAAATGCGTTTTTTGTGGAAACTAATATTTTAAACCGTAACGGACCCATCTCTGTTGTTTTGGAGGTGTTCTTTTGGAGGGAAATATCAACAGAGATGGGTCCGTTACGGTTTAAAATATTAGTTTCCACAAAAAACGCATTTCGACAAAAGTGTCGCTTACGATAATTTGGCGAGTGTCGCTTACGATAATTTGGCGGTAAGGGCTCGACATGGCGCGTGGCCTAGTACAGGTATGATAGGCAAGATAGTATAGATTCATCTTTTTCGCCATCTTGCAAAAGGCCATCGCAGCCCACAATTCGTTCCTACAAACATCAGATGTGAAATTTATTTTCAGATAGCGATCTTGCCACAGTTGTCCAGTAATTACACAGACCAAGATACGTGGTCCTAATAAGTATAAAAGATTATGTAAATACCTACCTACTAAGAGAAAAACAATTCAGTATAAAATTGTAAACTAAACTTTAATACAATAAAAATTGTTCTAAATAATGGTCTAACAATACAATCACCATATTGGCTACGACGGAACCAGGAACATGATATTACATATATTGCGCTATATCCTCGGTTTGAACTCTGCCGTGTACGGCCTCGGGGCAGATATCAGTCCGATGACGGGCTCTGGCGATGGCAGCACTCCGTTGCTACATTCGAGTCGGTATTTCTGCAAAATGCCTACGAACACGATGAATATAAAGGATTTTGCGAGAGAATCGCCCGGGCATCGCCTGCGACCTGTAAAAGGTAAATAAATGTAAACGGAATTAGATTTCAGAAATTATTTGAATCTCACTATGCAAATGTATACATTGCAAAGAGTGAACCTAAAGACATTAGATTTTTTCAACATTCAAAAAACGAGTGAGTGTCTTGGTACACACGGTTGGAAGAAGTTAAGAATATTTATATACCACCCGAGAATCCGCGCTGGGCCCAGTTGGGACCGGTCTTAGTCTGGAATGAGCCCAGTGCAGTGAGAATTGGGCTCAGTGCGGATTGAGCCCAGTACGTTTTCAACTGCACGGCTGTCCTAAATCAAAACACACTAAGGGACTTTCAACAAATTTTACAGGAAAGCAAAAAAACATGAATTTAATAATTTTAAAGATTTTTTTTAAACTATGAATCTAAAGCTCGACATGACTTTTGGAGATGGTAGATAAGATTACTACCTACATTTTGTATATTAAAAGTTTAAAGTTTTTGACGTGACAACGTCTTAAATTAGGTTGCGGCTGGGAGTCACTTATGAAAAAGTGTAACGCTCGGTAACGTTACGATGAGTCTCTCGTGTTAAGTTTAAGTTTACATGTACAATGTTTTAGTAAACAAAATATATTTCTATAGTTAAAATTTGTGCAATTCTTATTTTCATTCAATTCCTTGTTCCTATTGTGCAATTTAATTATATTCATATCAATAAATATTCTACCGAGAAAAAGACGTTGTCACGTAAAATCTTCGCCCGTAAAACCGACTTTACAGGCAACCATTTTTTTGTATATTTAACACAGTAAGGGACTTTCAACTAATTTGACAAGAAATAAAAAAAAAAATTTTAAAAATCTTTAAAATCATAAATATTTTTTTAAACTATGAATCTGAAGCTCAAAACGACTATTGGAAATGCTGAATAAAAGTACTGCCTACATTTTTGTATATTTAAGGTTTAAACATACATTTTGATGCAGTAGGTACTTTTTAAATTAGATCCAATACTAACCATGGCCATTAACATGTCTAAGTCTTCCCACTAATTTAAACGTAATTCATGGAGATAGCTCCAACGGGTGTGTAATTTGTTGCTATTACGGTATTTTGGGCGTTTAATTCCCAAATAAAAATCTAGTAAGTGACAATACCCAATCCAAATACACAGTAAGTACCTGTGTACCTGTGTTTTCAAATGTTGATTTGGGGATTGAGGTTTAGTTTGTGACTAACTAGGTATCGCTATATTTTGTATGGAGGCCTTTATTGAAAAAACGGATTCTAGCATATTATGGCCCATAATAATGGGCACTTACTTTGTTAAAAGAATGGTGTAAAAAAAGTGGATTTTGACAAAAATGCCCCTTACTGTGTTTTGATTTAGGACAGCCGTGCTGTTGAAAATACTTGGCTCATCAATTAAATTTTCTATATAATTGCTTTTTACGTTTCCGCAAATGCAGATCACTTTTTCAATTAGAAGTTAAAGTAGGGGAAAGCCGGGAGCTTTGCCCAGGTGGGAGAGAGGAACCATCTTTAAAATTTGTAAGTATTTAAATTTAGCGCACATAAAACATGAATTCGTTCATTTCAGCTCTCCCACTTTGGCAAGTCTCCTGGTTTTCCCCTATCACTTTTAATAAACGTATACATTAAGTTTTTAAAACTACATAGCACAAATACCATACTCGAAACACAATATAAAACAGTTACCTAAGCCGAACGGGTACATGTGTTCAGAATTTTTTAACGCTCCACTCTCGTCGATAAATCTTTCGGGCTTAAAATCATCTGGATCGTCCCATATTTTCGGATCGAAATGTACATCGCCAACCGATATGAGCACAGTGGACTCTTTTGGTATCAAATATCCGTCGATGACCGTATCTTCGAGTAGCCTTCTTGGCCCTGCCAATGGCACAATCGTGTAAAACCTCTGCACTTCCAACAAAAAGGCTGACACATACACGAGTCTGAAAAAATAAAATAATAATCATCTTTATTGCTACTTTGAAAAAAACAGTACTTTTTCCCATTCCCCGACCTTCAGAGTAACAGATATTGATGAAATGTTAAGTAAAAGCTTTTATAATGTATGTAGGTGTCCGAGGCAATGGGAAAAAATTAAATTAAAACACAATTTATATAGTCATAAAAGGCAGCTCTCGGTGGCGTTGTGAATATTCAGCTATATAAGTACAATAGTAGTATGCAAAAGCAACAGTAAATAACTGAAAAATATTTACAGCCGGACGGTTAATCTCACAAACGAAATATATGTCATGGCTGCCGGGATTCCACAACACAATACATGTAGTATCATGTGGATTTCAGGACTTATTATTATTATTTCAGTTTCTTTGAGGACTTAGTCCAGCTTAGTTTGCTCACTGTTACAGAACCGTATTAGTAGATTAAGATTCTAAGGCCGCCAGACTTATTTTCTGATGGATGAAATCTGGTTTATTGAGTAGTAATAGTATGTACATTCAAAGTATACATACTCATAAACTTGTGCTGTGAGCCAATTCTCAGGTATCAGGTGGCACGGTTACGTACAATGTTTTCTCATTTTTCCCACAGTGTAAGTACTGGAGGCCTACTCTATTTCGACGAAAAACGAAATTTCGATCGAAATTTCGCACAATTCTTACCCTATTTCTTTTTCATTTCAAAAATACGTTCGTCCGAAAGCCTACTCTAATTCACAATACTTTCGAACGAAAAGTTAAATTTGGCATATAATTGTTCGAAATTTTAACCACAAATTGACGAAATGAAAAGTGTTGTTACCTTTTCTTTTTCGTTTTGGGATTTTTATTTGAATTAAGTCTAAAATGCTTCATAGAGTGTTTTTTATCCAGGCTGCTTAGCTCGAGGAACATTTCATAGCATGTAAATTAACAAAGAAACGCTTTTTTATTGTTTATTGTATTTCCAATACTTCAAAATATTAAACGACAAATTTAAGTTGGCATACAATCGATTGTGTCAACTATACAAATTAGTCGGCTACCACTGTCAAAAACGGTTCTTTCAATGTCATCAAAAATGTTGTCATATTGTTTCCAAGTAAAAAACGTTATTTAAAAAGTAAACATAAAAAGAATCACGAACATGACTCATTCCAGTCGTTCACGAAACTTGTTTGTGATTCCAAATTTTATGTGCGTATTCGAAAATAAAATAGAGTAGAATCACTGGCGAAATTTCGTTTAAAATTCGTTCTTTACCGAAATTTCGTTTCGGAGAAAGAGAGTAGAGCTCCTGGTTCTTCGCGATTTGATTCACAGTAAAGCTCTTCATGGTCATGGTACGTACACATACTCTAACATGGCACTTATTTATACCCTTTATCTAAAACTTTCATATGCTTTCCCTATTTGAATTTTCGGAATTCGAATATTAAAATTTATGACATCTGTGACGTGCGAGTGACGGGCTAAATAAAAAGAGCAACAACACCTACGAGCCGATTCATAGGACAAACTTTAGTTTCATGTAAAAATGTATTTGTGATATGGTAAATATTTGTAAAGCAAATCTCCCCGTGAAAACTGTGAAGTGGCGAAAACAAATATTTGCTAAAATTGGAAAATAGACTCGACTAGCCTTTAACTACACTTCACGGAGCAGGGCCCAGCAGGGGATTGGGTCAGGGCACACAACGGCGTGAGTGATAGTGATTTTGTATCGCAAGTGCCTATAGGCTGTGGTGGCCTCTTATCACCGGGCGGGCAACACGCTTGTTTGCAACCTTTTAACTTAAAAAACTATAAAACCACTATAAACAAAGTCGTGATGGTTTGATTTTAATGAGCCTTGATTTAATAACTATTCATCATCATCATCAATGTCCCCACTGCTGGGTCACAGGCCTTCCGTATCGATGGAATAGGGAGAATGGGCCACTGAAATCTGCAATAGCCCAGCCACCATACAAAACTAGAGTATATTCTTTAATGCTTATTAAAGTTACATGTTCCCTTATTCTATTATCCTATCATCAAAGAAAGTGACAGAGTAAACATAATACCTATGAGATCTCTTAAGTTTTAATGATACAAATCTAACTACTGAATATCAAATAAGAAGAATCAATTAAAAGTTAATATTTCATGAACTTTAATACGCCATAAGATTATATCACTTATTTATATTACATTACCTATATTATTATTTATGTGTCCCGTGTAACCCTGTACCTGTACCCATTTATATTCCCGTTCCATTTATTATCATTCATTTTTCCCTTCCGGGGTTAGTTAAGCACCAAAGGTGAATGAGACAATATGACATGAATCCCACACCTCGACGACCCTACGTTTAGTATTAATTGCAAACAAAAGCGAAAAATTACTCATGCATTCACCCATACACTGACTTCGCAAGAAACCATGGACACCAGTAACTCGTACTTATTCGATCTATGAATCTATCTTTGATTATAATAATCAATGGAATTTATGATAAGGAAAACTTCAAAGATGAGTGTATAAACATCAGTTAAGAGAGGAATTTAAGACACTCGAGCCTAAGCTTCCGAAGAGAGCACGGAGCGGACGTCCGTCCCGGAGATCCACTCCGTGCTCCGTCGAGGACAAATTTAACCCGGCGCGGGTATACACCGAAGCGAAGCGAGGGCGGGCCTCTATACTTCATTGCATATAACATTAAAAAGAAGTAAAAAAGGTTATTTTATAGGTGCACATTTTCAAATGATTTTGGTATTAAATGTTTAATTACGCTTTTGTCAATTTATGCGTAAAAAGTTCAAGCACAGCTATCTAAACAATAACCTTTATAAAAATAAACTATTTATATTATAAAGAAAGTCGTTCAAAAACTAAAATATTACTACAAATTACAAAATGGCTCTGTAGAAAACCCCAAAGTAGCAGAGGTTTGCAATCCGCATTGAAAAGTTTAGGTAATACGCGACCAACCTTGAAGTAAGGGTTTTGATGGTGTCGTCGGCGAAATTACATTACGTCTGTGTAGTTATGTATTTCAGTCTATACTAAGAAAAAAAAAAGAAGATAGATATTATAATTGTATACTGTCAAATCTGGTGAAGAGAGTGAATTATCTAAATTGGTTTTAATCCATAAGTTTTGCTTGTACTTGATAGTAGTAAGTTATGTTTATAAATAATATTGAAAAAAAAAATATTTTTATCATGTTTTATTCGATCCAGTTCCAATTTTTTGTAGAAAGCCACATAAATAGATAATAATTAATAAATAACATTACTTTCCAGAGTATCTGGTAATACATAATATAGGTAATATCAAATATGATTATCATCACACTAACTAATATTATAAAGGCGAAAGTTTGTGAGTGTATGAGTGTGTATGTTTATTAGTTCTTCACGTTTAAACGGTTTGAGCTACTTTAATAAAATTTGGTATGGAGTTAGCTGACACCCTGGATTAACACATAGGCTACGTTTTACTGCGGGAAAATATCCCTAATAAACAGCGGGTAACACCGCGGGGCACAGCTAGTATTTCATATTTATACACGACACGAGAAGGTTTCGAAACCCTGTTACGTTCAGCTTCTTTTTTTTAATGTTATCTGGAATGAAGTACAGTAAGGTATAAATGCTAATCTGTTCAGACCTGAAGTAGCAGATTAAGGAAACGCAAATGCAAACTTAAATACATAAACTATAAAAGCCTCCATTTGACATTCCCTTAATTAACTACAAATCATTTCTAATGTGTCGGGTTTGATACGACAGTATTACAACACAAACAACAAATCATTTATTATCTTTGGATTGAAAAAATCAGTTATCCAGGCGACCGATTTTAGACCGTAATGTAAACTGGGTAGTGGCGGAAACAGCATCCAGTGTTCAATGGCCTAGTTGTAAACTAGTTAGCATCGGAACTTGCCTGTGACTATCGGCCCAGCAAGGCACATCGTCTCCTAGAACTTGACTTATTTCGTTGTACAGTTTTTCTTGCAGTGACCCATTACGGAGGACGGCTAGAAATGCAAATTCTAGCACGTTGCTTGTAGTCTGCGAGCCGGCAATTAGGAGATCAAGGCATATCACTTTAAGTTGTTCTTCTGTAATGTAAAATAATTTCTATTAGAAAAAGTTCGTCAATCGAATAGGGATGACGACTATTTTTGGGCAAAGTATATCGGGCTGCTCGCCGCCTGGCCGAATGCACCACGCAATACTATGAATATAAGTTTATTTAGTCTTTTGCCTTTCATTCTGTGTCTTTGTTGGTTGACTCTTTGAGCAGCCTTTGAAAATAACTTTTTAGATCTTGCCAAATTTCTAATTAGATTTATTTGAATAAAATTATAAAAAAAATGTTAATGTTTGTTAATTACACAAATAGTGAGTTAAGGTAGAGATATTTTTCTTAAAAGTATTTGAAAAAAATTGCAGTAATATAATCTTAATCATTTTCTGAAATAGGTAGTGAAGCTTCTTAGGTAACTCAAAATTCACGATGTATAATATAAACAGGACACCACTGTTACCAATAAAACGGAATGAGTGAGAGATAGAGAACGGAAGCCTTTTATCCCTTTCTAATTGGATGACCCGAACTTTTATTTATGGGAATTCAAATATTAAAACAAACAAGGAAAAGTAATGCAGAAGAAGGAGTACATTAAAATATACCGTCATGATCCTAAAGCGCGGGGCAGGCACGTTGTTTTGTTAAATTTTTATTTTTTGGGTAATGTTACTGGCATTATGATCTTTAAATTCAATATATCCCGCTTCTGGTATGTACATGATACATTTCAATGACACTCGGTTTGCTAATCTCCTTTACTTTGTATTTTTTATGATCAATATGCGTGCATTAATTTTTTCGATTCGATATTTTTATAAATGTAACGATATATCGAATAAAAAAAATCTTTGTCAAAACATCGAATCAATCGATATATCGTATGGTAAATTTCAAATAAATTCGATATATATCGATATTAAATGAATATCCCTACCCCAAGTCCCCACTCCTAAACCTTGACGCGCTTTATCTTTGTCATTTTTTGATTGATTGGCCAAAGAAAAAACACTTGTCCATTTTTTTTTAAATCTAATTGATAGACTTAACATAATTTCGTTTACTTCACCCCATCGTCACCCCTATTAACACCCTTTGCTGTCCGGACTAATGCAGCGATATAGCTTCCGCAACACAATGTTTATGTTAAATACCAGAGGCAGTCCCGACTTTCGTCATTTTAAAACGTCTAACAGTTTCATATATAAAAAGATAATGTAACTAACCATCTATTGTATAAAGCATTGAAGAGTAACAAATAAATATTACATTTCCAAAAAATCCTGTTTACTCAATAAGTACGGTTCTTAAAAATAAGTCAAATCACAAAACTGGCATGAGAAGATTGTTTAGCTTCAAGTGTTGCTTTGAAATATCTGCTTTTTCCATTTTTTCCAAAGCACAACTTAGTATACGCTCACTCAATTTTATTTTTACGGTAATATTTCCATTTTCCTCGAGAGCAGATTAAATTATTTTGATGAATTATCGAATCAGCTTTTAGGATTTCGAGGTTCAAGTAAATTCTATGAAATCTAAAATATTATGTAAGTACATCAAAATTCATAAATATCATTATAATGTCGTCATTAGATTGCAAAGCTTTTACAGACTTCGAATGCCAACATGATTTCACCTGTGAAGGTACCGTAAATAAAAATAAAGAGATCTCATTAGTAACACAAATTCGCTGTGAGGCGCACTCACCCGTAAATGAGGTTTTATTTCCTTCGACTTCCTGTAAAAACGAATATATGAAGTCTTGCTCTTCGACTGCTCTAATTTTATGTTTCCTAATGGCTTCCTGAAATAACAACAGAGAACATTTTGAATTGTTACACCGACACTATAATAATTGTTCCTCATCAATACATAGTATAAAGCAAAGTCGCTTCCCGCTGACTGTCCCTATGTCCCTAAAACGCGCTACTGACTTGCCTGCCGCAGGGACAATCTAGGGTGCACGGGCGGTCGGCCCAATATCGGCTTGTCTCTACACACATGCCTGCTATTCAGTGTTCGGGCGTATGTTGAGCTAAACACACGCGTTAATGATGGTCCCAGTGTTATCAAAAAATATGTTACCGTAAAAAAGGAAATACTGGGTGAAGAATTGGCAGCAGAAAGAAATGTATAGTAAATAAGTAATGTTTATGATTAGAAAAAAATCCACGCGGACCTGGTAGCAGACGGGACTCAAACCCACACCCTTCGCTATCCGGGCGAATGTACTGATCAATTATGCTACCGCGACCCTGACAGCCGTATCGAATTCTTTCTAGCCTTTCTTAAGCTGCAAGGCAGCGCCATCTCTTCGTATTATATGTAACCCACAATGTCAAATGAATAAATACTATTACAATTATTAAACATTTAAAAGAAGAAATAGCAATTAAAGTCATAATTTGAATTTTTTAATCATGTAACTGCTCAATGTTTGAATCTAAAGAAAATATTACAAGAAAAAATTAATAAAAAAAATATTTCTATTTTACTAGTAATATTTTCTTTAGATTTAAACATCGAGCAGTCACATACTTAAACAATGAAAATGAATTAAAAAAATAAATATAAATAATGTTTGTTTTTTTTAATCCCACATGTGGGTCCGGTATTTATATACTTCGATCACTAGTGTCTAAACTTCATGCTCATTATGATCTGCCGCCATTTTGATCGTAATACGTGCGCTGCGTGTGACAGCTACTAACCGACTGATTGAGAAATTGGCCCAATCGCGCTACACACGCGGCAACGTGCAGGGCGGTTGGGACAATCTAGTGAGCAAGGGTGGACGCGCGCTCCTGCCGCCCTGCCGCAGGCCCGATTTAGAAAATTGTCCCAGTTTGCCTACACACATCACAATTCAGGAGGCAATTTAGGGTTATCCCCACTCTTACACCCTAGATTGTCCCTGTGGCAGGCAAGTCAGTAGGCGCTTTATGCTTAGATCTTTGAAACTACGCAACGGATTTTGATGCGGTTTTTTAAATAGATAGAGTGATTCAAGAGGAAGGTTTACGAGATAGATCAAAATAATGTGCTACAGTATTGTACACCTTAAAAAGGTCTACAAAAAAGTCCGCGATGGTATATGTTTATCTCTTAGGGATAACCCACAATAACCATTTTTTAATTACTTATTACGAGAAAATAATGGCTTATTTAGGAAAAAGTGATTTTTAGCAATACAGTATTAATCCTTATCCAATTAAGTACCTTAAATACATTTTTCATGTAATATATATCAATATGGCCCTGTACAGCATGTAATTTAAATGAATATTTTCGAAGATATTACAGATTTAAAATCCAGGAACATACCGGTTCGGGCGGTACTAGCCGGGAGGCCGCCGGCGCGGCGGCGCGTCTCTATAGTAATTAGGTATTTAAAGAAAGTCATTGTGTTTAATAGAAGCCTGAGAACAAAAACTATAGCCTAAACTACAGCTGTACACCGAAGCGAAGCGAGGGCGGGCCACTAGTTAGACATAAAGAGACATTCATGTATTGAAATTATCAATATCGATACAGTAGCCAGCTATGAAAGTGAAACTTTGGCCCACAAAGAAATTGCATTTGTTAAGTACTTCTATATTGAAGAAAAGTTTTGACTTGAAGTAGTATAGCGGATTTTCCGCTCGAATGAAAAGACTCTCCTGAGAAAGTCATCAGTTATCGTTGAAAATTAATATTTATTCACCTGCAGAAGACTGCAACATAACTCCTATAAGTTGGCGGGTTGCCCTTGTGGGCTACCTACAGTTCGATGAGATGGCGCTGCCTTACAGCTTAGAAATACTAGAAGAAATTTGACACGTCGCGGTAGCATTATTGGTCAGTGCAATGAAAAGTTTTCATGTGCAATATGTAAAGTTTTCTTTAAATTTATAAATTTAGCAGTTAAATGCTTAAATAATAAATAACTCCTATAAGTATTATTTTTGCAGAGAGAAAAATCTGTCTACCTTTGCCTTACTGTATACTATATACTGGGCAAACTTAAATATTCTATAAATGGGTTCTAAAATATAATACCTTTAGAATGCAATGAAAACATCATTCCTTAACAGCTGAATCTCAGGGTCGAACGAACCACCGACCACTTGGTGCCAACCTCACAGTTTCCATTCGGCTACTTGTCTCTTGCAGATAGTAACAAAGTTACAGATACCTTGTGTCAAATACTGTCGCTTTTTCGTTTCATCGAATCTTTTCACTTCAGAATATTTTTAACATTCAAGAGCTTTGTAAATGAAATAGCTATTGTGAGCCACTCTTGCCATCCCCACCTTACTAATCTTAACCCAATCCTCTAACTACCATGTGAAATCGTGCCATCCTTCAGAAAGATAACACCAACAAAACCTATAATAATTTTGTTTAACTGTGGTCTTCTGTAAGTTAGACGGGCCCCCCATTTTTACTGAACAACTGCCATTCCTATTATTATATATATATTTTTTTTGTGTCTGGAAAATGCCTTACGCATCCTTCAACCACTGGGGGAGCGAGAAGAAGGTATGTGGGACTCCTCCCTGTCCCCTTCAGCCAGCCCTGGAGCTCGCTGATGTGAACAGGGCCCTACCTACGCCCTGAACAGCGCCACTTAAAACCAGACAATACTCCTGCACCGTCACCCGACACGCACTATGAGGACCGCGGTCCCCCTAGTGCATGCCGACAGGGCGGGTGTGGTCGCGGAACCCGTCTCCGAATGGCCGCGCACCCGCCAGGTGCCATTCCTATCCTATCCATTTTAAAGGTGTTCTGCAAACCGAGTAAAAATAAAAATACTTATTTATGTAGAGTATATGTATTCTATCCGTTACCTTAGTATCCCATAATTCCATTACAGTGCTTACTTTGGGGCTAGGCTAATTGGTGTGAGTATTAGAAATATTTATTTTTATTTTATTTTAATAATACTAACTCTGTCATATTAATTAAGTTCTTACTTATATAGTAAAATTGTCATGTGTAAAATTGTATTGTAAACTTTAGAATCAAAAGTTATTCACTGATTTTTTTGCAAAACGGTCGGGTTGCACTCCGGGAGTGCCGGCAGAAGTGAAAACTTGAATATTAACGTTGTGCATTTTTAATATTTTGGAATGGTTAGGGAATAATTGTGCACGAATTGCTTAATTATCAGTATAAAACTACTATCATTTATGTGGTAGAATACAATATTTATTTATTGCGCTATCGTACACGAACATGACAATTTATATTACATTAAAAAGTTTATCTCACAGAAAAATCAACTTACATGAATCACATTTAAGCGCACCTAGCGACATCTATTGTAAAAAAACGCATTTTCTTCGCAATAAAACTGCCACCTGGACATCCTAGGTAGAAACTTATTATTATAATACGATAAAATAAAATATTACTAGGTTTCGTCCAATATATTGAAAGTCAACAACCCTACCAATTTTATTGTTTTCGTCTTACGAATTTTCATTTAGGTCACGTGTTCTGAGGCAAGTTTAACTCTTTTTACCCATACAAAAGAAAAGTGTACAAAGCCGCTAAAGAAGTTTTCACTTCAAAATGGGATAAAAACAAACACTATAGATCGAGTAACAAGTACTTCGAAACAGTGATGGTTCTTAAAATCGATCAGCACTGGGTAAGACAATTGAATGGTTTCAATTCGATGCATAAATATCAATTACGATTGTAAATATCAATGGACTTGGATCATCGCAAGAACAAAAGCTCGTTACAATGTAAACGGCATTTAACGATCTATACTACCACACTGAATACTGAATGAAGCTCAGGTTTAATTCAAAATTTATGAAACATTGATGAAACTGTAACCCATTACATGAAATACACATAGTTGAAGTCTACTTTTAAAGGAGTTGTTCCAAATTCGTTGTATGACTCTTCATTATATTTCTCTCTTACTCATCGCATCAGTATTCCTAGATCAACCCATTAGCAAACAATATATTGTTTTAAACTTTCATGGTCACTAACATTATAGTAATATAAGTTATTTACGGGATTGTTACCATGTACCTTGTTTTTAGCGAGTTTCCGATATTTCGGCACTGTTGCAAGCGCCATGATCACGGAGTAACTGAAGTAATTGCGGGTAGGCTGTTATTGGCAGACATATCGGTCTACCCTCCGACGAAGTCTTTTATTGCGACCCGTACCACTGTTCACATTCTCACTATTCACTCGAAACTGTTCTCGACACACAACACTTACAGTATCGGATCGCGACACGACACTTTTTTGATTATTTCCGGTTTTACACATACGAACCACAGGATTCCAGACACTCGACAATTTAAACCCGTCCTCACGATTGAAATTTTTATGTTTTGTTATTTCAATCGCTTCCCTGACCAATCTTGGTATGTAGTGGCGTTCTGTCGAGATAATCTGTGGGTTATGAAACTCAATCCAGTGGTTAGAACCAGAATCAATCAAATGTTCCGCGATGGCTGATTTCTGCGTATCGTTGTTCTTGATTGCTTTTATGTTATTACTTCAGTTACTCCGTGATCATGGCGCTTGCAACAGTGCCGAAATATCGGAAACTCGCTAAAAACAAGGTACATGGTAACAATCCCGTAAATAACTTATATTACTATAACATTAGCAAACACTCATGAAAAATTAAGGTTTGTGATACAGTATGAACAAAAATATTTTAAAGCTGTGTTAATTTGTTTAACGTTCTAGTAAAAAATGGCAGGAGTCTTACAAAATCCCCTTTTTGTCAATTCTTGCTGACAAACACGAAGTGTTAGAGTGGTGGAGCGAATACTTTGAGAA